GCTTGCTCTGCGCGCGCTTCTGTTTGGCGGAGCCAGAACGAATTTTCTGTGCTCAGGAAGGGCGGCCTCTGAATTATCTGTCCATTATATGGCGAGATAACTCGCCGTGCCACCGCGCACAATGCCTCCATATGGCAGCGGCGGCCGCTGAAATAGTGCCTTTAAAATAAATAAAGAATCGAGCACAACGAGAGGCCACGTGTGGAAACAGACAATTAGGGGAGCGGCCGTGTCGTGCGAACACGGTCGGCACAGCGCGGCCCGGCACCACGATTTTGGGAAACGCAATATTTAACATTTTTTATATAATCCTCGTTCAGTTCCAGTTTCGATCGCTCCCATGCTGCTCCGAGCGTGCCGATCGCTCCGATTTTTTGCGCTGCGGTTTTAACTTTATTGGCAGCTTTTATTTTCCTTCTAAAACTTGCGGCCCGCCCCACAACGCGCCAACGGTTCCTCTCGGTTTTCCCGAGGGCCCGCCCTGTCCCCATGCAACGTTTGTGAATCTCGCTTTCTGCGTGAATGGCCGAGCGGTGCGCTGTTCGCTCTGCTGCGCCCTCGTGCACCCACAATCCCTCCGCCGACGCGATGCCCCCCCCCCCCTCGCGACAACCCTTGCCGGCAGGGTCGAGTCGAATTCCGTCAACCCCGCCCTGGCCCTCGCTGTCCCCTCACTAATCAACCAACAGCGTCGGTGTCCAGAATATTCGCACACACACACAAAAAAACACGCTAGTTTTTTACACTAAAGCCAAACGGCCTTCTGGAAGTGCCAAGATTCAGCAGCATTGATTCAACACAAGCAAACTCTGGACCCGGTTTCGACTTGCAGTGTCTCATCGGCGGCGCCGGTCCCGCATGAACCCGGTGCTCAACGATCCCCTATGTAAGTTGCTTAAATCGGTACAAATTAAATCCTTATTGTGCAATTTGCACCAAACGGCAGTGCCGTCGCGCCCTCCAAATTCACTCGGCAGCCTCGGTTCCATTGTGCGCTTCTTAAACAGCTTTTGAGTCGCCACTTATTTGGACACCAGTGACTGATGCCCGTTCGCTCCTTTCCTTGACCTTCCTCTTTGAGCTGCCGTAAAGTTCAAAGGCTGTTCCTACTGGCAACGGTTGGCCCGGTGACGGATGGAGGTAGCATTAGTCACCTGTCAGAAGGCTTTTTCACAGCTTAAACACTTTGCTTTCGGCCCAAAAACAAAGAGACTCTCTCTCCCTTTGTGCGCTCGCGTTTGTGCCTTGGCCGCTCTTCTTTTATCGTCTCCTCTAATCTTTTTATCTCTCCTCCTTCTTCTGCGAGCCCCCTCGCAGTCCCCTCTGAAGGTGCGTCCTCCGTGGCCCCCCCTCCGCCTCGCCCCCTCTCTGTGCTGCGTTTTTTGGCACCGGCGGGCGACGCGGCGGGCGGACGGCGATGGCCCCGGCGCCGCCGTCGCTGCGCAACGCGTGCCGGTCTTCGTCCGCCCTCGCCGGGCCGATCGCCGTCCGCAGCGTCTCGTCCCGGCAGCTAAACCCGCGACGATGTAGAGAGCGAGGGAGCGAGCGCCCTTTGTGCGTCGCTCCATTGCTCGTTATCTGGACCATCGGCGCAAATTCCACATTGCTATGACAAGAGGCACATCTGTTATTTTCTAACAACTGAAGTTTGCTTCCCACAAAGTGATACACATTTTATTGACCTTGGAGGAATAATGATGATTGGTTGAGTTGACCCACGACATATTTGGTTACGGGTTCGCACTCCGTGTTTTTTCCCTGAATGAGGCGAGGTGCCTCTCCCTCTTCAACTCATCACTACCTCTTTATTCCAATGCCTCCGCCACCCACCCCTTCCTCCTCTTCATGATCCTCCTACTCACCCCCTCCCCGCCGCCCTCGCCGGCCCCCGCCCCCTCTCTGCTCCTTGCCTTTCTACTCACGGCTCCACCGTGAGTCCTGGAGAGGTGAGATTTGGGCTGCCACGCTCGGGACTGTCACGCCGCGTTACCGCGCGGCCCACCGCAGCCGCCTCTCTCCGAGTAACGAACAGCAGCGTTTGGCAGCAGCAGCAAAAAATAAATAAAAATATCGTTGTCTGGGGGGGAGGGCAGACACAGCGACTGGAATGAGAGATGTGTGGGGGGGTGGTAGGTGATAGGTGGGAGGCTGGGGGGGTGGCGGGCGGGCAGGCAGGAGAGTTGTGCAGAAACCGAAAAGGAAAATAAATAACCCCCCCCCCACCTACCCGTCCTGCCCCCCCCCCCTCAAAAAGAAGGAAATAAAAAAGCAGTATGAAACAAATCACGTTGCATTAATGCATCACCACGCGGCGTTATCGACAGAAATCCCGCTAGGCCGCGGGTTTGCCTATCTCCGCGTAATAACGTCCCCCGCGGGACCCGGCAAGCAGCTCGAGTGGCCTTAATGCTGCACACGGCGTAATCCCATAATTCCTTGTTTAATTAAAGCTCCTGGCCAGTGGTTGCGAGTGGCCTATCTTGGCCTGGCTCCTTGATGCTGACTTTGAGAAAAATGTAATCCCGGCGCTTTTTTTTATGTTGCACTAATCAGCGCTGCGCCTCGCACTCCAAGGCCTCTCCAGCACTCGTGGGCCTGCGCGCCCGCCAGCAAGCGGGCGGCAAAACGCGCAACAGCAGCACACCCCCCCTCCCCCCCCCGTTCATCCCCTTCTCATCTCCCCAAAGTCCTCAACTGCCAACCAGCAACCACCTCTCTCCAACCAAACCCACGATGCCACCCTCACATTGCCAACCACCTCTCCCTGACCAAACCCACGATGCCACCCTCACATTGCCAACCACCTCTCCCCGACCAAACCCACGATGCCACCCTCACATTGCCAACCACCTCTCCCCGACCAAACCCACGATGCCACCCTCACATTGCCAACCACCTCTCCCCAACCAAACCCACGATGCCACCCTCACATTGCCAACCACCTCTCCCCAAACACAGCCACAGTGCCACCCTGCCATAGCCAACCGCCTCTCCCCAACCAAACGATGCCACAACCTCCCCATCGCCGCCCGCCTCTCTGCTTTCGCCCCAGAGTCTAATTTTGCGAGTTAAAATCCCGAGTGGTGAGACAGGGCCCGGCTTTGTCTCGTGAGCTCACGCCTGTTGGGGAGCGCGATGGAAGAGGCCTAGGGAGCCACTCGTGTACCAATCTCGGATTTGTTGCGGTCCCGGCGGCGGCTTAGCACTTTTACACGCGGGCCGATTCCGGCGTGGCCGTAACAGCGACAGTAATTCCGGCATGGGAATCGCCCGGATTTACCGCGCCTGCTTGAAAGCGCCGGCTTCGCAGTGACAACAAAACTTAGACCCGAGCGATTCGGGCCAGCGGAGGCGTTGATTTGAAACTGCAACGAGCGTGGCCACGCTTTCTATCTCCTTTTTCCACCTCGTCCACCTCGTCCACATCGTCGACGTGCAGCATCCGCACAAAGCGGCGGCTTCATGAGCTCCAGCGCCACCGCTGCCACCGCTGCCGCCGGAGCCGCCGACTAATTTTACCAGAATGGCCGTGTTGGGTTTCATGGGCTGGATTAGTAACGGAGCGAACGCTGCTCTTGAATTAATGCGAAGCGTGGCAAATTATTTCGTGAATATTTAAAACGTGTCTGTGGACGGCTCCCATTCTTCGCACACAAAGACACTTCTTCGCCGATTTTGAAATTGTGCTGCGTGTGCATTTATTGCGAGCCTCCAGGATAAGGGCTCTTTATGCATGTTTTTTTATAGCGTATATATAGATGTTTTTTCGTTTGGATAACGAACGAAAAAAACATTGAGGGCAAAATTATTTGTGTAGACCTGCACTAGTTACAAACAGAGTCCCTCTGAATGAATTCCTATTGTGCGTTGTTTCAAACTTGACTTGTTTCTATTTTTATAAATAATCGACTGTCGTAAATATTTGTTTTTTCTTGTGCTCAAACGGAGCTCCGTGTGGTTAGGTTGGCTTTGAGACGATCATCTCAATGCGGATTTGTCTCATCACGTCGCTTCAAATGCTGTTCATTGCGACTTGTGAATCACGCGAGAGTGACGATGACTTATGACGATGATGATAACGATGACAGTTAGCATCATATTTTATTAATTTACCAAAGTGTTTTTCACAATATTTCCAATTTTTATCCTAAAATATCTTGGCTGTTTTACATAATGTATACACTTAGCCATATTGGATTCCCAGTTGACTTTATTTTTTATAATTTGGATCGTCATCAGAACGAATAAAAATGTACGTTACGTTCCACACGCAATGTCTTCTGCTCGTGAACAGCGAGGACATTATGATCTCATCCGTAATTTTATTGAAATGCACCACATGTGACGTCTTCCATCCCTTCGCAGTCGGTGACGATCAGGACTGTGCAGCAAGCAGCCCACATAAATCAACTTACACAAGTCCAACTTTGTAGTTATAAAGGTTAATTACACATCCTCTTATTGGGAACCACCCACCCCTCGTGTGCCCTCAAAGGGGCTCCCGAGCAGCACTTGTCCCAATGGTCTGTTAAGGCTATACGGGGTATCTTTGTCTTTCTATGTTAATATACGTGATCGTTTTGTATAGGTTAACTTTGTTGAGGATATCCAGTTCATGTGATCGGACGCTTTTGCCACCAAAGTCTCATACGCCAGGATGTATGACCCGGAATCAAGCAAGTGTGAGAGATCTTTGTCCCTAAGTTGTTAAATTCCAAGGTGGTGACTCGCGTTGCCATTGGTAGGTCAGTGACCCCCTCTAGGAATTGGCTTCTGTGTTCGGGTGGCAGCAGGATATTGAGTTGTACCGAGGCCTGGTACCGGTATCGCTGCGTTGAACTTTACGACAGGACACTGCACAGCTTTTATAATTGGCCGAGTGCTGATGTCCGTGTTGGTCTTCCGGTGGAAGCGGTGGCAGCCGTAGCGTTCACGCTGGCCGTGCTGCCCAAGCGGTGGTTGACGGTGGGTGCCCGTGCGTGCCCGTGCCGCGTGTTCAGCAGGCAGCACGGTGGAGGACAGCTCGGACGTGGACTCCGAGCCGGACCTGCCGCTGAAGCGCAAGCAGCGCCGCTCGCGCACCACCTTCACGGCAGAGCAGCTGGAGGAGCTGGAGAAGGCGTTTGAGCGCACGCACTACCCGGACATCTACACGCGCGAGGAGCTCGCCCAGCGCACCAAGCTCACGGAGGCGCGCGTGCAGGTGAGCCGAGGCCTCGCCGGCGCCTTGCCCGACCCGCCAGAGCCTGTCAGGCCATGTCTGGCCCTGCTAGATCCACACAGGCTGTGTCTAGCCTGGCTAGGCATCACCAGGCCCTGTCTGTCAGGCTGTGTCTAGCCCGGCTAGGCCTCATACAGTCTCATCTGGTCTAGCCTTAGGTGAAACCCAAGATTGATTTTATGACCTTTATTTAACCAAGTCAAAGTCTATTAAGCCAATTTGCTCTTTAAGGAATGGAAATGGACAAAGTTTTGGTTGGGTAAAATAATGTTTTTGGGATTCTATTCATTATAGTAAAGGGAGCTAATTATAATGTCCGGTTAACTGCTTAAAATTACCTTTTTGTAAATAACTGGGTCACTTCAGAAATTGCAAACAAGGCTGGTAGAAGTGAGAGAGCATAGTGTGAGATGCAGCATCTTAAATGTTTCAGCGGTGATGTCAGGTGACTCAACACATGGTACTCCCCCCCCCCCCCCCACTCCCCCCACTCCCCCCCCCCCCACTCCGCGCCTCTCCGTCTCGTGGTCGCTGCGCTCAAACCGTTTGCGTCTCCTTCTCACGCCACGTCGAGTTTCCTCGAGTGCTTTTTTAATATAAAACCGGAGGTTTGTGTGAGGGAGAGAGAGAGAGAGTGACATTGGGAGAGAATGACAGGGATGGAGAGAGGAGAGAGATGTAGAGAAGCAGGGAGGAACAGATGCAGGGAGAGAAGGAGATGCAGGGAGAGTTCTCGGCCCGGCCACGCAGCTAGCGGCTGGGAGGAGGAGTGGAGTGGTGATGGCTGCCACCTGTTGGCCCCCGCGCGTGATCGGGATCGTTTGTGGCAGAAGCGTTTTGCTCCACCTGAGCCCCGCTCGCCGCGGCCGTGACGTTCCAAATCCCCGTGGGCCCCCAGGGCCGAGACCCCCGAAACAAAGCCCCCTTTCTGTGGCGAGGCGGAGAGGGGGCCCCGGCGAGTGCCCGCGTGCGCTAATCGACTGACAATGGTCGGAGGCGAGTGCGCCGTCGCTGCGCCCGCTGCATTATTCATTTTGTTTTTCTCCACGCACGGGAGGCTCCTTGCGAGCGTGAAGAGATTTGTCCACAGCCTAAACAAACACGGGCGGTTGGGGAGGGGGAGCAAAAGCCCCAAGCGTTTACTAAACACGGCGACTAAATGATTCCGCGGGCTCTGGCGGTCGCGAAGCGCAATCCTCGCCGTGTCCCCGTGATCCCCGCGGAGCGCGGGCTTAGCCGGCTCGCTCGCCTCGCCGGGGCCCGGCGATCGCCGCCCGTCCCCACCGACTCCCCGCGTGTGCTCGCTGCTCGTCCGCTCCTCCTCTGCCATTTGTTTTGCTGACGCTGACGTTCCGTGGAAGTTTCTCGCGCCAACTCGGAGAGAAGTTGGCGCGGCGGGGTTGGTGGGAGCAGGGAGGTGGAGGAGGAGGAGAAGGTGGCGGAGCCACGGTTTGGTTTGTTCAGTCTCTGGCCTTTATCCGACCTCTTGTCGAGAGCCCGTCAAGGGAATACAGCTATTGCAGTACATCTGCAGCGCTGGAGATCTGGGCTTGCTGCGCGCAGGACGGATTCAAAACCCGGGCAACGAGTTAATAAATAATCAATTAAAAAACACGCTGTGTGTAATATGCAGCATGTGTGTACACGTACACAGAAGAGTAGAGACACTGCAAAGCACTTTAAAAACAGAAATATATTTAATAATAAAACACGAAGTTCACATTGGCCCACGCTGGTCAGTGCGGGTTGGCGAAGGGGTGGCCTCGGTGTGGTTCTAACATCCCAGGCCACCGCCGTGAGCCGTGGCCTGGAACCAAACTCGGCTGACAGAGCATCGCCGGGCAGCGCCTGCAGGACGCGGTGCCTGGGCGGCTGCGTGAGCGCTCGCGCGCCCATCGCCGTGACGCGACGGCCTCGCGCTCCGCTAGCGCGTGGCCGGCCTGCGGGCTCGCGTCGTCGCGCCAGCGATGTGTCCAGTTGCACGTTGACTTTTTGCGTAAGCAGGTGAGAGAACTCAGGAGGCCAGGGATGGGGGGAGTCTCTTTTGCAATAGGGACCCAGGTTACCAAAATAACAAAAGCAGTGACATGACAGCACGACAGTGAAGCAAATTGAAAGCAAAGCAAGAACAACAGCGTTAGAGAGGACGTGGGAATATGGTGCGCCATCAACATTGAATTTAACATTAATCCCGTGACAAAGGTTGGCTCGGACAAATGGCTTTCAAAATCCATTCGGAGCCAAATTCGCCGACAAAAACATCAAATACATTTGGAGCGATCATTGCACCGGCGTGTGAACCAATGAGCGGCCGTGTGTCAAATATCACGACGGTACCGATGCCGAGACTCGGGATCGTGTCTCGCCCTTCCGGCACACACCGATGCCGGAGCTGCTGGGCGCGGGGGCGGCCTCCACTCGGAGCTCCCTCTTTTGTTAGCCCCCCTCCACTTCAAAGAATGGCGATTCCCTCTGCGGGGCGGCGTTACGCTGCACCCGGCGGTTGATGTAGCTTCAGATTTATTACCGAAGCAATATCCCTGGCGGCGGGGTGCCGCCGTGGTTACGGCGAACATTCACGGCCCGCGCGTCGGAGCGAGCTCACCGGCGCAACCGCCCGCAGCCCCCCGGCGGCAGCGGCGGCGGCGGCCGTGGCCGGGCAGAGCCGACGGTCCCAGAGCCGGGGCGGCGGAGGCGGAGGGGCGGTGAGGATGGAGGAGAGGGGGAGATGGTAAATGTTCGCTCAGATGCGATTACATCACGGCGGTGCGCGGGGTCCCCGGAGCCCCGAGCCGCCGCCCCCGTGGGCCGCGTGGTGCCCGTCAAGGCGGCTTCCTGGGCTCCGATTGCCGGACACTCGACCGGGGCGTCCCTGCTCTGGCAGGTGTCTGCCTCTGCTTTGATACGGCCGCGCCAACATCTGTCGGATCTGTTGATTTGGGGAGTCGTGAAGCCACCCGCTCCACAGGCCTCCTGACTCCCCCCCACCTCACCCATTACCCCTCTCCCCCCAACTCGCCTCCTCTCCCAGATGCCCCCTCTCGGACGGGCGCTGTGGATCACCGCCATTATATATTTATTTTCCCCTGCATCTTTACACGAGCAGTTAACGGTCATTACTCATTGCTCACGCTTTCAATTTAACCAAATGAGCTGTAATGGTTTAAAAAAATATATATTATTCCAGTACTTTAGATTTCTTAAACTTGGGTGAAGTGTGCGGAATTAAAAGTTTTAACGGCTTTTAATTATTACGCTTCGATGTGGAGGGGGTTGGGGGGCGATCGGGGGAGAGGGAGAAGCAGCAGAAAGCAAAATGAATTCTGCATTAGTGGCATTTGAAATGCTCCCTCTCCGCAGACACCCACTCGATTTCCACATTTCTTCTCTCGCTTTAAGCCGCGTTATCAGCACTCACACTGGACGTTCATTTGCACAAACTTCATTCAATGGAATGCAAAATGAACACGCGCGAGAGAGGCGGTGCGCGCGTGTGGGTGCATTTGGTTAAAGGTGCGCGTGTACGCACGGGAGCATTTTTGCATGCGAGCATTTGTGTGTGCGCGTGCCTGTGCTAATGCGTGTGCGTGTACTGTTGTACGTGCGCGCGTGTCTGTGGCTGTACGCGTGAACGTGCGCATACGTCTACCGGCGCGCGTGTGAGCACGTGCATGCATGTGCTCGCACGCGCGCGGGTGCATGCCTTTGCATGCATGTGCGTGTGTACCTGCACGTGTATGCACGTGCGATTGCGAGCGTGTGCATGTGCGCATGCCTGTGCATTCATATCTGCATGCGTGCGCGTGCGTGTGAACGTCTGCGTGCGTGTTTGTGCGCGTGTGCGTGCGTGCGTCCCCACACATTGTGTCGTCTCCCCCACTCGCCCCACCTCCTCCTCCTCCTCGCCGCCGCGTGCCACCGGCATCACGGCTCGCCCGTAATGCCGCTGGATTACCTTGGCTTTCCCGGGCGCACGGCACTCGGTCTCTTTATGCAGAGCGCAGAATTCTGCAAGTGTCTTCGCTCTCTTGGGTTTTTTTTCCTGACAGAAAGATACGCGGAATCCTCACCGTGCCGAGATCAAACCCTGGGCTCATTTTCACAGCTCCGCCTCCCCCCCCCCCACCCATCTCCATCCTTCACCTCCCCACACCCCCCAGCTCAGCTTCACATTTCACGAGTGTTCAGTGTCAATGAATTTGACGAGCGGTTAATATAACCCTTCGTCATCTTCATCGTCGTCGTGAAAATAACCATCGCCGTCGTCACGATCATCTCTTCTCGAGCCACGGGTGCCTGGTCTGTTTCGCGGGGGGGTGGGGAGCGGGGGTGTGGGCGATCGATCGGAACGTGCTCTCTGCTGTAACGTGGCCGTTTTGGGAACCCCGTGATGCAATTCTCAAGAGCAGGCTGCCGTGTGCCCGGTGTCCGTGGCTCATATTTCAAACGTGAAAATTACCCGCAGCTAAATTCAAAAATAATAACCGCTCCTTTGTGACTCGGGTTGCTTTCTGGAAAAAAAGTGAAAGAACTCTCACCTGGTGAACTAAACAACATCAAATTAAATTTGTTTCCATTCCTTATTTTCCCCTTTTCGCTCCCCTAATTCCCCTGCAGCCAAATCACCCCGAATGCCCCCGCACCCATCGCGGTTCTCGCAAGCTCAGCGGGCTTGAGCCCGCCTAGAGCGAAGGTGGGTGACCGCCACCGCTGGGGCTTGCCAGGTGTTGTAGGTGGAGTTCTGCGAGGACGTGGCAGTGTTGAGTGTCACCACCCCTCCCCCCCCACGTGGAGTTTCTCCGGCCACTCTGGTTCCATCTCAGGGTCAAGAGAACATCGCGGCCCCTGCCATCAGTGCCAACCACACTGGCGCACGTCGCCATCGCTTCCTTCCTTCTGCCAGGCCCCTTCAGCTGTTGTGCAGTCTCATCGGTCGGCAGGGCTGCACCGCAGCGGTGACACTCCCGCCTCGCAGTACAAACGCCATTGGTGTGATTCCCGACTCTGTGTGGAGTTTGTATTCTCTCCCCGGGTTCTACGTTGGGTTTCCTCTGGGTTCTCGGATTTGCTGCCATAGCTAAAAAAAAATGATGCAACGTTCTTGGACCAACATTGCGATGCTGCGAATTTGCCTTCAAGTCACTCAATTGGGATCACTCACGGCAGCAACAACATCGCCCCCTCCTACAGAAACTTGGCAGGACCCTCATGGAGAAGAGTCTTGAGACTCGGCGAGCTTTCCTGGGTCAACGGGTACTGTTGTAATAATTGGCACAGGGAGGAAACCCCACGAGACGTACGAGAGGGCGACACTCAATGGTCCGCACGGATGGGTTCACGAACCCGCTTGCCGCACTGCTATCTCCTTGCCGACTCGCAGCTCAGCGGGTTTGGGATTTCCACAAATCTTTGTGTGACCCGCCAACCCCCCCCTCCCCCGGCGGATCGTGAATGCCAAAAATATTACTTTCACGGTTCCCACCCAGAGCAATAAAACAACAGGCCCCGAGCGGAGACGCATCATCGGTTCCAAACCCAAACACGGAGCGGTGGGAGCCCCCCGAGGGCTCCGATAGCGGCGTGCACGCTCCCAGCATGCCCTGGGGTACGTGCTCGCCGCCGACTGAGTGCAGTAGTGGGAGAGCGCAAGGAGGCCATGATGATAATGAGGAGGAGCCAGGTGACGCGGGCGGCGGCCCTGGTGTCCGGGCCGACCGCGCTCGACTTTCGCGCCTCCGTAACTCTGTCGGCGCCGCCGGCACTCCGCGTCTCACCCAGCCAGCGGCGCAATCGTGTCGGACAAATGACGAGTAAGTGGAGAGCGGCGGCGCGGCGAGGGGGCGAGCGGGAGCCGTGTGGGGTGGTGGTGAGGGAGAGGGAGGGGGTGGCAGACGCGGGGGGGGGGGGGGGGGCGGTAATTGCTCCCAGACGGGGAATTAGTAGAGACCGCGTGAGCGGGCGGGGGAGTGGGGAGTGAGCGCGGAGCGAGCCTAAGCGATGTGCAATCCGCGCTGGGAAAATCATTATCGCTCCCAGAATTCCAGCCGCAGCACGAGCAGCGGGCGCGGCACCGCACCTGCGCCGTCGGCTCGGAGCGTCCCCTCGTGCCGGCGCTCTCTCTCGGCCCCCCCCCCCCCCCCCCCCCCCCCCCCCCCCGGGCATTCGTTGTGGTGCCCTCGGCGGGGTGCGGGAGCGGTGCCCTTGGCGCCGCTCGCAAGAGGAGCGCTTTGCGGCACCACCGTCGCAGCGGTTGCGGCCGTGGCCCCCGTTACAATTTCACGGCCGCTTGTGGAAGTTCCACATTCCTATGCCGGCGGTGTGTCACGTAGGAGACAACCGCTGTCCACATCCCACAAAATGGTTCTCACTTTATCGGCCCTAGAGGACTAAAGAGGCAAGTTCGACCCCACCTGGGAAATTAACTCAAAACCTTCCGCTTGCGAGCCGTGTGCTCCACCGACTGCTCCACCCGACCCGGCCTCCACAGCGTGGGAGACGATGCACCTCAGGGTCGCTCGCCCGGTCTATTAAACAACGTTCGTTGACGTCCGAGTGGGCTTAAGCTGCATCAGCGTCCCAGCATCCCTCTGTTCCTCCTTCCCTCCATCTTCATCCCTCCATCTCTCCATGCCACCATCTCCATCTCTCTCTCCGTCTCTCCTTCCCAGCGTCTCTCCCACAAGTTCCACCGTGATGTTAGCAGTCATTGCCGCCGGCTCGCCGCTTTCACGCGCTCGCCGCCGATGGGATTTGGAGATCCACGGGTGGTGGCGGCGCTCCCATGATGAGACTGTGAATGCCCCGTGGCCCGGGGCTGTGACAATTCATCGGGGGCCAATCGCGGTCGCGTTAGCAAGCGGCTCGCTCGCCCTCTCTAGCCACGTCGGGGCGAATTGCGAGCGGTACCACAGCAGCTCACGACAAAGAATGTTGGCGGTGCCCAGTGACTTAGAAAAAAACGGGACGGTGGTGATGGTGGTGATGGTGGGGATGGTGATTGTCGGGGTGGAGTTGATGGCAGGGTTGCTGTGGGAGTGATGATAGTGATGGTAGTAATGTCAGTGGTGGTGCTGGTAGTGATAGTGGTGGTCGCAGTGCTGATATCGGTGCTTGTGGTGGTGGTGGGGAGTGCGTCAAGGGGGGTTGTACGTGGAAGGATAAATAATTTAAGTAATCGCGGCGATCGCGATGCCCGGAGTTGAGGGGGCCGGGCGTGGCCGCCCGTGTAACACAACTCCCCGCGCCTCCCAGCCTCAGCGCGGCCCTAATCGCTTTCCAAGGCGCACGAATCAAAGTGAAGCAGCGACATGAAAGCGTTGTGGAGAGTGGCACGGGGCCACGGGCTGCCTGACCCGCAGGCAGAGGGGGGCGCGGGGGGGGCAGCTCCCGCAGGAGCCCTGCACTTTCGACTCCGGAGAAACCGCGCCCCCCGATCGCCGATCACCGCTGCCGCCGTCGAGATGTCACGGCGGCCGGCTATTTATTTATTTATTTGCGCTGCGCACGGGCGTCAGGCGAGCGCTGATCGAGTCGCTCAGGAACGACCGACCGCACCCCCCGCGTCGTCCTCCTCCTCCTCCTTCCGGTCGTTCTTTCCCCACGCTTCGTCGCCGCTGTCGGCCTGATTATTCTCATTATTCTTCTTCTTATTATTATTTTTAAACGCGGATCTCGCCGTCTTCTCCCGCGCCGTCGAGCCCGGCCATCGTCCGTGCCGCCCGGCTCCTCGCGCGCCGCCGTCCAATGCCTCCTCCTAGTGGCCACGCGGCTGCATGGAGCCTCCTGGCGCCAGTGGCACGGAGAGAGAAGCGGTCGCAGAGCGAGCGGCCTCTGTGGCGGCGGATGAGACGCCGCGCGCGACCGGGGGCGTTCGTCGTGAGCGGTAGAAAACGAAAAATTGCGAAACGCAAATTCCACTAATTGCAGCTGTTTTGAGGCGGACGTGAAAAAAAATAATAGCGATAATTTGGGGAAACATTGACCCAGTAATAAATAAACTGCCGCGAATTCCTCTAATTGGGCAATAAATCACAGGCGGGCAACAAGGGACTGCGGGCGGCGCGCTGCGCAACGAGCGACGTTCACATCCGCGGAAACGCAGCAATTATTTTTAGTTTAATGGACAAAGGACGATTGTGGGCAGCGAGCGTGCGAGCGAGCGAGCGAGAGAGCGACGGGCAGCGGCGCCTGACTCGCACTGCCCTCTGGCCGCACCCCCCGCCCAGGTCTGGTTCAGCAACCGGCGCGCCCGCTGGAGGAAGCAGGCCGGGGCCAACCAACTGGCGGCGTTCAACCACCTCATCCCGGGCGGCTTCCCCCCGGCCAGCATGCCGGGCCTGCCGCCGTACCAGCTGCCCGAGGGGCCCTACCCGGGCTCCGGCATCCCGCAAGGTGAGGCGCTCGCCGCTGCGCGGTCATCGTCGTCGTCACGGTCATCATCATCGTCATTGTCAGCAGCGGCCGCGATCAATCCACTTCTGGGCGGAGGTCTCCCTGAGCCCTCGCCATCGCTCGCGGTCTCGCGAGGCAACAATCCACCCGACTCCATCCAGCCATGCCCTTTGCCCACACTTGAAATCGTGGGGTCCCTCGTCAGCTGAGCTCGCTCCGGGGCCAGGCACGGCAGCCATTGCCTCCCTCGGCATCACGGGACCCCGAGTGTCCGTTCTAGAACAGACCGCCGCCGCACTCCGCTTAGGCCACCCCACGGCAGCGGACGGCCTCTGTGTCAGCGGCGGCGCGTGAGCGTGCTGACCGCTGGAGACGATCCGGCGGCACCCGGGAGCTAAATGAATCGACTTACGCAATCGGCAAAGAATCCGCGCAGGGTTCCATCGGAGGGCGCCTTGCAGGTGTGCGTCATTGTGCTAGCGCACGCGAGTGAGTGTGTGACGCGCTGGCGTGTGTGGGAATTAATTCATTAGCGCGCTGAGCGCGGTACAGTAAACGCCATTGTCTGGTGTGTTTTTGCGCTGATTGTAATTTATTGAAGGCAAGCATCCCTGTGGGGGATGGGGGGGGGGTCAGCGGAAGGGGTCGGTGAGGGTCGGTGGGGGTTTAATTGTAACATTTTAGAGATTTGGGTTTAGAATTGTGACTCGGAGTCGTTTGGGTGTTTTTAGGCCAAGTTTAAACGTTCACCAATCTCAGCCATCTGCACTGGAGAGGAGAGACGGAGTTTGTTAGGCCATGAACCCTGGGCAGGGACCCCATGTCAACGTTCCTCTCCGTGCATCTCCGATGTTGATCGTCGTGCGCACGTTAGGCCATCGCGCAATGCACACTCTCAGCGCGCAATATTGGTATTCACATAAATACCTCGTTGGTCAATCTTTTGGCAAACCAATTTGAGTTTTATCTGACTCAAATGTAAAGTCACAATTTAAACTTTCAACAAAACGTTCCCAGACCGCGGCAACTCTACACCTGATGCATCGGGCCTGTGGGCCTTGGCTCGCCGACCCCGTTTAAAAACACCCTCTCTCCTCCTCCCCCACATGGTCGTCCTCCCACAGTGGACACGGGCACGACGGTACACAGACCGCAGCCCCTTCCGCCCTCCTCCATGCACCAGGGTGGTGGCCTGGCCGGCGGGGACGGCGCCGGAGCCTACGGCCTCTCCTCGAACCGCTCCGGCTTCTACTCGGACAGCTTCATGTCGGCCGCGTCAGCGCCGTCCAACCACATGGCGCCCATGGCCAACGGCCTCTCCCCGCAGGTGAGGTGGCGCGGGGTCGCGGGCGCGCTGGGTCGAGGGGGCGCGGGGTCGCGGTCTGCAGGTTTAAGGTCACGGAAGTTAGAAACGGGGCTCCTGCGGACCGATCGGCGGTGCCGGCAGGAAGATGGTGGAGGTGACGGAGGGTTTTGTGTAGACAGGGGCGGGCAATGTCCTTTATGCAGGGGGCTGCGAGGAGGTCAAGATGCTGAGCGCTTCAACAGGGAGCGTGTTTTGATGGGCTGTGGAAACCACCTTGGAAGAGAAGAAGAGAGCGGAGCGTGCGCGTAGAGAAAACGGTGTGGACCAGAGGGCCGCACTCCAACCGTGCAGCTCGAAGAGAAGTTGCTGCTGGTGTTTGAGCTTCAGGGTCGGATGTTGGAACTTCGTTCCGAGGTAGGAGAAGCAACGCTGAAGCCCAGCAGAGAACGCGGCAGCTGCACTAAGTGGGTGTGGCCTCCGCGAGTCTGGCGACCAAGGGAATAGAAGGCCTAAGATCAGTTGCTGAGATACTGTCAGGACAGATGTCTCCGTGCAAGCTTATGGGTCATTCAGTGAGTCTGTGGGTCACTCTGTGAGTCTATGGGTCACTCTGTGAATCTGTGGGTTACTCTGTGAGTCTGTAGGTCACTATGTGAGTCTATGGGTGACTCTGTGGGTCTGTGGGTGACTCTGTGAATCTGTGAGTCACTATGTGAGTCTGTGGGTTACTCTATGAGTATGGGTCACTCTGTGAGTCTATAGGTCAGTCTGTGGGTCACTCTATGAGTCTATGTGTATCTTATCACTGAGATATAGCCGTGGTGAGAGCAATACTCCTTGCCTTACTCCGCTTCCGCTTTGTGTGCTTTTACTTCCTCTGTGAAATCTCAGTGGAGCTGTTCCATCTTGACGAATTATTTTGATCACTTCTCTATGTTCTATGAAGGCCTTGCTCTGTGAGAGCTTGGGAGTATGTGCCAATTTACACCGAATCAAATGCATTTTCATTGTTGACAAAAACTCTGCGTGTGTGGGGGGGTGGCGTGGTGATGGGGTGACCGTGGAGCACAATGCAGGAAGTGAGTGACTTCACGCCTCTGCTGGAACCTCACCACTCCGTGCCGGTCATGAGAGTTGTTAGACCATACTTCGCCACGCAGGGTCAGCACGGCTGGGCGAAGCGATGGGAGGGCCCAGGACCAGTTCAGATCTCATTCTCCACTGCTCTAGCCGTGGCCAGGAATGGAACCACGGCGCCATCGCTCCGCCCCGACCGCCGAACAAACCCGACAGCGACCTCGTTCGCGACGGCGCGACGGCAATTACGGTGCCCCGCCGTCGCGACGGTCGCCCTGCGACTGGCCCTCCCCAGCACGACGCGCCGCCCACAATAAAGGGCGGCCTTTGTGAAAGGCGGCGTGGCACGGCGGCGGCTTGTGTTTAAATTTTAGCTTAGCGGTGATTAGCTAAACCTCGCGCGCCCAGGTAGCGCCAAATAGTGTTAAGCATTCCAAATCGCGTTCTCCGCCGGGGCTTCCCGGAGCCCTGCGACCCCCCCTCCGCACCCCCCCGCACGCCCCGCGCTGCATACGCAAGTCTTTAGCGACGGGTTGGCAGGGATTGCGTGTGTGAGTGACAGCTAAAACCGTCTCTCTCTCCCCGCCGCCACCTGCTGAAAGGAGCTTCTCTTTCTCTCGTTTCCCGTCCTCCCACCCACTACTTCCCCCCCCTCCCAAATTATCCTCATCCCGTGAACCGCCATTAAATCCTGCGGCAGAACCGATGCCGATCCGGAGTAAGAAGTAAATTACAAGCAATTACACAGCGATTAGGCCGCAGCCCTGGCACTCGGAAGGCCCGACACGATCTCCGCTAACAGGCAGAAAATAAGATTGCAATGGCGCATAAAACAGCGCTGGAGATGATTTCCAGCGCCGCGTTTGTCTGCGATTTTTCGCCGCTTCTGCACGCCCGTGGTGTTTTATTGCAAAGCGCCGCCTCCCCCTTCAAGCGCATTTCGCGAACGTTTTTCTGGTGTAACTTTTCAGCGCCAATTTTGCGGTGAAATTCCACATGACCCAAACGCTTTCGTTTCATTGTTTCTCTCGCACTTTTTTTATTCCGCCTTTTTTTCCCTCTCCTTCCTCGCTGCCTCCGTCCGTCTCACCCCCTCCCTCCCTCCCTCCCGCTTCCCCACCCAACCCCTCGGTTTTGGCAGAGTCCAGCGCCCTGCTGCTCAACAAGTGTCTGTACTGTGTTACAAATAACCAATGTAAATGTGAATAATAACAAAAACAAGAATAGTAATATTTTACAGCCTCTTGTCAAACCATTGGTGGATAAAGGCCCCTCCTCAAGCAGTGTCATGGGGGTCGTTTAACCATGCTTCACCGCACCCTGGGAGTCGTTTAACCATGCTTCACCGCACCCTGGGAGTCGTTTAACCATGCTTCACCACACCCTGGGAGTCGTTTAACCATGCTTCACCACACCCTGGGAGTCGTTTGACCATGCTTCACCACACCGGTCAGTGGGAGTGGTTTAACCATGCTTCACCACACCCTGGGAGTCGTTTGACCATGCTTCACCACACCGGTCAGTGGGAGTCGTTTAACCATGCTTCACCACACCCTGGGAGTCGTTTAACCATGCTTCACCACACCCTGGGAAGTCGTTTAAACCATGCTTCACCACACCGGTCAGTGGGAATGGTTTAACCATGCTTCACCACACCCTGGGAGTCGTTTGACCATGCTTCACCACACCGGTCAGTGGGAGTCGTTTAACCATGCTTCACCACACCCTGGGAGTCGTTTAACCATGCTTCACCACACCGGTCAGTGGGAGTCGTTTGACCATGCTTCACCACACCGGTTAGTGGGAGTCGTTTGACCATGCTTCACCACACCGGTCAGTGGGAGTCGTTTAACCATGCTTCACCACACCCTGGGAGTCGTTTAACCATGCTTCACCGCACCGGTCAGTGGGAGTCGTTTGAACCATGCTTCACCACACCGGTCAGTGGGAGTCGTTTAACCATGCTTCACCACACCGGTCAGTGGGAGTCGTTTAACCATGCTTCACCCACACCGGTCAGTGGGAGTCGTTTGACCATGCCTTCACCACACCCTGGGAGTCGTTTAACCATGCTTCACCGCACCGGTCAGTGGGAGTCGTTTGACCATGCTTCACCACACCCTGGGAGTCGTTTAACCCATGCTTCACCACACCGGTCAGTGGGAGTCGTTTGACCATGCTTCACCACACCCTGGGAGTCGTTTAACATGCTTCACCGCACCGGTCAGTGGAGTCGTTTGACCATGCTTCACCACATCGGTCAGTGGGAGTCGTTTGACCATGCCTTCACCACACCCTGGGAGTTGTTTGACCATGCTTCACCACACCGGTCAGTGGGAGTCGTTTGACCATGCTTCACCACACCGGTCAGTGGGAGTCGTTTGACCATGCTTCACCACACCGGTCAGTGGGAGTCGCTTGACATGCTTCACCACACCGGTCCGTGGGAGTCGTTTGACCATGCTTCACCACACCGGTCAGTGGGAGTCGTTTAACCATGCTTCACCACACCCTGGGAGTCGTTTGACCATGCTTCACCACACCGGTCAGTGGGAGTCGTTTGACCATGCTTCACCACACCGGTCAGTGGGAATCGTTTGACCATGCTTCACCACACCGGTCAGTGGAGGTCGACGATAGAGGAGGCACAGAACATCACTCGTCACCGACACTCGCCACATCTCCGGGTCGAACTCTCGTCGCCGCGTTCATTGCACGGCGCGCCGACCGTTGACGCCGTGTCTCCCCCCCCCCTCCTCCGACGATAATAAAAAATAACCCTGAAGGAAGACGGGCGTGACGGGGGTACGAAGCGCGAGTTTATCTCTCTGGGAACAAAGCGGCCGCTGTGCGGTGAGCTCCGCGCTCCGCCCGCAGCGTCGTTGCTGCGCGCTGGAATTTGCTGGAACCGCAATTTTTGTGACTCATCGAGAGGCCGTAGCGGCGCTGGGCGTTCGGGAAACCGCAGAGCCCCCCCCCCTCCCCCGCCTCACCCGGGGCGCAAGGTCACGAGGGGCTGTGAGCGACGGGCAGCGAGTTTGGGGCTGCCGACGCGAAAAAACAAAGTCCCCTTGGCCCGGCTTCTCTGCCGTCGTCCGCGATCGAGAGCCTTCTGCCGGCAGGGAGGGGTTCAACGGGCGACAGGGCCGACGAGGACGTTCCCAGCGACGAGGACGTTCCCAGCGCAATGAGGACGTTTCCGAACGACGAGGATGTTCCCAGCGACGAGGACCTCCCCAGCGACGAGGACGTTCCCAGCGACGAGGACGTTCCCAGCGACGAGGACGTTCCCAGCGACGAGGACGTTCCCAGCGACGAGGACGTTCCCAGCGACGAGGACGTTCCCAGCGACGAGGACGTTCCCAGCGACGAGGACGTTCCCAGCGACGAGGACGTTCCCAGCGACGAGGACGTTCCCAGCGACGAGGACGTTCCCAGCGACGAGGACGTTCCTAGCGACGAGGACGTTCCTAGCGACGAGAACGTTCCTAGCGACGAGGACGTTCTTAGCGACGAGGACGTTCCAGCGCCGAGGACGTTCCCAGCGACGAGGACGTTCCCAGCGACGAGGACGTTCCCAGCGACGAGGACGTTCCCAGCGGACGAGGACGTTCCCAGCGACGAGGACGTTCCCAGCGACGAGGACCTCCCCAGCGACGAGGACCTCCCCAGCGACGAGGACGTTCCCAGCGACGAGGACGTTCCCAGCGACGAGGACGTTCCCAGCGACGAGGACCTCCCCAGCGACGAGGACGTTCCCAGCGACGAGGACGTTTCCAGCGACGAGGACGTTCCCAGCGACGAGGACGTTCCCAGCGACGAGGACGTTCCCAGCGGCGAGGACCTCCCCAGCGACGAGGACCTCCCCAGCGACGAGGACGTTCCCAGCGACGAGGACGTTCCAGCGACGAGGACGTTCCCAGCGACGAGGACGTTCCCAGCGA